ACACACAATAAATAAATGTAATAAATAAAAATAAATAAATATTTAAAAAAATAAAAAAATAAAATCAGAACAAAGCAATGTAATAATCAAGAAAGTGGGGGCCGGGGAGATGGCTCAGTGGAATAGGCAGTTCCCGGCAAGCGCAAGACCCAAAATGAAAAGAATGGTATGGAGAGACCAACAATCCACAAGGAAAGCCAACCTCTGTGTGTGTGTGTGTGTGTGTGTGTGTGTGTGTGTGTGTGTGTTTAATCCTTTATTTATTTGATGCAGTGTCTCACTACACAGCTTGCACTCATCCTCCTGTCTCAGCCTCCCCAGCGCTCAGATTACAGGAGTATGCCACTATGCCCAGTTTCGGTGGCCAGCATGGAATGCAGTTCCCGGGATTGAACCCAGGTCCTTCCTTGCGCTTGGCAGGCAGGTGCTTAGACCACTGAGCTATCTCCCTAGCCCTGCATGTCTTTTTCTTTGACAAGGGTGTAAAAGCAATTCTGAGTGGAGAAAGGAGAGTCTTTTCAGCAAGTGGTGCTGAAGCAATTAGACAGTAGGCAAAGAAATGAGCTTCAGTAATGCAAAATGGATGGCAAATCAAAATATAAAATCTGAAACTATAAAATGTTTAGGTGAGAGACGGCATGGTGGCATGCACCTGTAATCCCAGCTCTTGGGAGGCTGTCAACAGACAGATCACTGAGTCTAATCTACACAGTGAGACCCCATACACCTGTCTTAAATGAAAAAAAAAAAAAAAGTTTAGGTGAGCTAGGTATCATGGTGCATGCCTATAATCCGAGCGCTTGAAAGGCTGAGGCAGGGGGATCGCAGAAAGCCTGCATTACATAATAAATTCAAGGCCAGCCTGGACTACATAATGTAGCAAGATTTGTTTGAAGAAAACTAAAAACCTGTTTAGATCCAAGCATGGGAATCTTACAAAGTAGGGTCAGGCGGAGTTTTTAGATGTGGTTCCAAAGGCACAGTCATAAAAGAAAAAAAAAAAAAAAAAAAAAACAACTGATGAGATCAAAATTTCAACCCATAGCTGAGCATGGTAGTGTTGCATACCTGTAATTCTAGTACTCAAGAGGATACAGCAGGAGGATGGCTGTGAGTTCAAGGCCAGCCTACACTACATAGTAAGAAAAAGGAAATGATTACAGAATAGTCAAAATCTTGGGTATTTCAGTATTAAAGGGTAAAAAGATGATAAGCATATCATAAAACATTCAGCTTGGCATCATGGCATACCCCATAATACCAGCACTTACAGGCCCAGGCAAGAGAACCACAAATTCAAGTGCATCCTGAGCAACTTAGTGATTTCAACCCTGTCTCAAAAGTTGGTTTTTTTTTGTTTTTTTTTTTTTAAAAGGACTGGGGATGTAGCACAGTGTGAAGGTCCTGGGTTCCTTCCTCAACAATACAAAAGTAAAATAAATGTTCTGTATCATTAGCCATTAGGGAAATGCACACTGAGATGCGATACTGCCACCCACTTAGAATGGTGAACATACATCCTGACAATACGAAGTGTGGATGAGTACGGATCTCATAGACTGCTTATGGAAATGTAAAATGGCCCTTTGGCAGTTTCTTCTAAGAATACCATACTCACATGGCCCAGCAAAAGCACTCCTAGGTGCTCAAAAACCCATACGCCAACATCCAGGGCAGTTGTACTCATACTAGCTCTAATTTGGGAATAACCCAGATGTCTTTTAATTGCTGAGTGGTAAAATAAACTACAGTACATTCATACTGTGGAACACTACAGAGCAATCAGAGTTAGATCAACCTGTTGGCCTGTTAAAACACAGGTTACATAATACTGGGTAAGCAGTTCATATTTGGTGTAAAAGGCGATCAACAAAAGTCAGTGTTAAAAAAAAAATAGTGTGACTAGGCCGGGTGTTGTGGTGCACACCTGTAATCCCAGAACTCAGGAGGCTGAGACAGAAGGATTGTTGCAAGTTCAAGACCAGCATGGGCTACAAAGTGAACTCAAGGCCAGCCTGAACTGCATAGTGAGACCCTATCTCAAAAAGAGGAAAAAAAAAAAAAGTATGGTGGTACACAGCACTCTGAGAGGCTGGGACAGGAGGGTGACAAGTTCTAGCCTTGTCAATTTAGTGAATTAGATTGTCTCAAACAACAAAGGGCTGGCCAAATAGCTCAGCTGATTAAAGCGCCTGCAAGCAGTAGGGGCTGGGGTTCGATCCCTGGGCTTGCTGTGCCCGCCTAATCCCCGGGGCATGCTGAGACAGCAACTGAGACTGGGCATGGTGGTGCGCACCTATAATCCCAGCTCTTGGGAGGCTGCAAACAGGCAGATCACTCCGAGTCTGATCTAGTAGTGAGACCCTGAACACTCTGTAGACCCTTCCCTAAAATACAAAAATAAATAAATAAACAACAAAAAGAGCTAGGGATATTGCTGAAATGTGAAGGCTCTGAGTTCAATCCTGAGTGTGGGGGGAGGAGTGTGAACTATGCTAAGGGCAAAGGGTGTGTACAGGATTTGGTGATACTCCCCAGGCAGAACAGCTCATATGATCTTGGGATTCCAAGTTTCTCCAGAGGAAGCACATGCTGAAGCTGAGACAAAAACATCTAGCAGTGGCACCAATACCTTGGTGTAAGATGCAGGTGCTGAAGGACTGAACCCTGAGAGGTTGGGGCCAAAGGGAGAGGCCAGCAAAGCACTGAAACATGGTAGTTTGTGAGCCAAGAGAAAAACCAAGGGAGTATGATGTCCTGAAAGGCAGGTAAAGAGAACACTTCTAGACAAAGGAGTGACCAGCTGTGTCAGACTGCTGACATGTCACCTAAGGTAATGGGCAAATGGACTTAGCAAATGCAGAAGTTATGGGGGAATTGACCAACGGATATATATTTGTTTGTTTGTTGTTTTTTGTGGAACCCGGGGATTGAACTCAGGCACTTGCGCTTGCCAGGCAAGTGCTTATTCTACTGAGCTATCTCCCTGGCCTCCTATATATGGTTTTTTGAGATAAAGTCTTACTGTGCCATTCACAGCAGCCCTCCTGCCCAGCCTCCTGAGTTCTGGGATTGTACTACCATGGCCACTTACACGCACAGTACAGCTCAACAACTACTGAACAGAGAGTACTTACCAGTGCAAAAATTAATTTTAAGGCTTGTTATGTCTGATAATAAGCACAGACTGTGACCAATTACTACATGACTTGTGTTGTATATATTTTCAAGATATTTAGGTTTTACAAACTTTGCTATCCATAGAGGTATAAAGGCTTACCATTTAGACTTGGGCAAAACCAGGCTCTGTACTAAACCTATTTGACCATAAGACAGTCCTTATCTCTGCATTTCATGGGAGGAAAACACCATAAGGGAATCTACCATTAATAATTTTTAAAAAGGCAGGCCAACACTTTGGGTGGCTAAGGCAGAAGGATCCAGAAGTTTCAGCTCAGCCTGAGCAGCTTACTGAGATCTTGTAACAAAAATGTAGTTTAGCATGAAGGCCCTGCGTTTAATCCACCAGTACCACGAAAAGTTATCTTAAAAAGGCAAAGGGCCAGGGATACAGCTCCGCCTCACAGCACCTGCCTCACAAGTGCAAGGCTGTGAGTTCAATTCCCAGTACCAAAAGATTAAATTAACAAATAAAAAGGCAAAGGGTCTTGGCGTGCATAGCTCAGGGGCACAGTGCTTACGTAGCACGTACAACTCCCAGGTTCCACCCCAGCCCTGCAAAGGATAAAAGGAATGGTAGAATTTGAGCTTGTCTGTTTGGTTTTGCTTGAAGTATCTCTTTCATCTTGATCTACCATCTAAATCAATCTCTGATCCATCCAAAAGCTTGTGGATTTTAAAAACAGACCAAGATAATTCACAGCATAGTGGCTGAATGAACACAAATGTAGGCCCAAATTATGATAATTTTAACATTTTATATGGGAGTCTCCT